CAAGGTGAACCTCTCAAGGTTGTGAAACAGTTCCAGAGGCTTGTAGGGAGATTGTTATATCTTTCTATGACTCGCCCAGACATTGCTTATGTTGTTGGTGTCCTCAGTCAGTTCATGCATGCACCTAGGTCCACTCATCTTGAAGCGGCAGAAAGAATCCTCCGATATCTAAAAAAGTTTCCTGGTGCTAGCTTGTTATTTCAAAGGCACGAGCATTTGAAAGTTGAAGTTTATATAGATGCAGATTGGGCTGGATCTCAAAGTAACAGAAACTCTACTAGTGGCTACTGCACCTTTATAGGAGGGAACCTTGTTACATGGAGGAGTAAAAAGCAAAATGTGGTGGCTAGATCCAGTGCTGAAGCTGAATATCGTGCAATGGCTCACGGAGTAGCTGAAGCTATGTGGATAAAGAATCTTTGAGTGAGTAGGGTTTCCCAGTGGACAAGCCTATGACTCTATTATGTGATAACAAAGCAGCTATAAACATTGCTGCTAACCTAGTGCTACATGATAGAACAAAACACATCGAAGTTGACAAGCATTTTATTAGAAAGTCATCACAGGCGAAGTATGTACTCCCTATGTCAGCTCTGAGAACCAACTTGCAGACATCTTTACAAAAGGGCTACACCATTCTAGACATCATGATCTCTGTGACAAGCTGAGCATGATTGATATCTATGCCCCAACTTGAGGGGGAGTGTTGACAGATGTTGCTGTACACATGTTTAGTACCGCAAGGGTACTTTTGTAATTTCTTCATATTTTATGTTGTACGACCAGCCTGGTATAAATAATAACATACTGCACACGCTTGCAGGATTCTTTGGGCTCTCAGTCCTCTCGCCTCTCCTCTCTTTCTCTTCTCTTCTCTTGTTCAACAAATATGATACATATGCAATGGTTCATTGTATAGAGGACCACACTTTGATATTAATACAATACCTTATACTTTACCTTTTCAAAAACAAAAAAAAAAGATACAACAATCCACTATCATATAAAATAGAGACTACCTCTAGGATATACTACCTAACTATGACAATCAGGTAATATCAAGGTAACTTACCATATAGAGAAACACCTAGGTGATAAGGCACCCATGAAGGGTCATCTCACTTAACTTTCTGAGATTATAATAATAAAATACACATTTATCAAACTAAATTATTCAGTTTGAGTTAAAATACTAGTTTCCTTTTATTATTTATCTTATTTGTTAGGGTTCAAAAAAGTTGTATACTATTTTGAACCCTATAACACTTCAAAACCTGAACTAACAAGCATGGAAGAACTAAAACTTACACATATTGATCTTCTTTCATCCTTTATTTTCTTTTCTGCTTTTCCAAGGACAAAGTTAGAGGCTGTCCCTCTATTATCTGAAATTTCTTTTCTTTCTTCCATTCTTTTCATGAATATGATGATTTTATATGTTTTAAATGAAGTTCATACATTTTTTATGAAGATTATAGACAATTAATAGTGAAAGATGGTTGCTGTTTACTATGGAACCTAGGGAATTACTTTAGAATTCATGGGTTTTATTAAAAACAAAAGCCCATCATGCCCATCATAAGGCACCCCCTATTGCCTAGCCTTGCCTTGGTGCCTTGAAAACTATGATACAATCTGCTAACTATTGTTTCCTTTGTCTTTATTTTTTCAAGGTAGATTTAAAATGCATTTCTCTACTCCATGGTATAAGATGTACCTAAATTTCCTAATATTTCCACAATATATTTCCATTTCCATGGGTAGTGACATGAAATTTTACTAGAACCGACATATTCCCCTAATGAACACTACCAACACTATGTGGAGTACAAGAGAGTTTCTGTGATATATTTCCATTTCCATGGGTAGCGATATAAAATTTTACTGGAACCAACATATTCCCCAGTGAACACTACCAGCACTATGTGGAGTACAAGAAATAGTATAATAACATGTCACAATATTGTAGATATGTGGAGTAGCAATGTTATTGCCCACACAACTTACATGATTACCACTTTGAATGAGCTCGATATTCATTTCAAACATGAAGTTAAATATTAGTTTTCACTTGTTTAATAAAATATTTGGTTGATTTATTAGAACCATTTTACATTTTCTATGAGTTTAAATTTTGCATATTTAGAATATGCAAAAAATCATATTTTTTCATATTTACAATGTTTCCACCAAGTCTATAATTTTTACAATATTCCCAACATTTCTAACATGTTTCCTATATTTGGACAACCGACATTTCCACCAACACCGACATTTTAAACCTTGCTCTACTCCACTCCCTCAAATCCTTGTGCTACTAGTTAAAGAATTTTCTACGACTTTCATATTTACTGCTACTCAAGCTGGATATGTGATGCTTCCATCATCTAGAAGTGATTCCAAAGAGAATCCTAAAATAGTATCAGTTTATCTATGTTTTGGTCCTTTGATTTTTTGTCCTCATTTGCTTATTGCTCTTGATTAAGATTGCTGGTTGAAATTAACCTGATACAGGTTTAAGAGAAGCTAGTGCCACACCTACCATCCTGGACCAGCCAAATCACCCCATTTCAGGGGCCTACTAAGGCATGGTCTGGGAATATATACATATTCTATATCTTGTATATTTACATATATTGTATATTTATACATTATATGTTGTATATAATACATGGTTTATATTTACATATTCTCTCATGTTTCTTCCAGTTAATATCACTCACTTACATCCAAATATACACATATCATATATATTGTAGGTTATACTGTATGGTTATGCTGATATATCATAAATAACTTTATCTACATATTCTATAAAGTATATTTGTTACTAGCATATGGTTAGGATGTATGGGCAAGGTTTTAGATATGAAATTTTCACTAAAAATTGAAGTATTTTACACATTTTAGCACCTATGCACAGTTATCTGGGTATCAATAACATAGTTGTACATTAGAAACAGCTACACCAGTCCACCTGTAAGTGATAAATTGTACCTTCTGTTGTCTTCATGATTACAAACTTAAAGCTTTGAGGGCCAAACAAGGTTCTACCTACCAACAAACTGTCAGACTTGCTAATGCCAAACCTTGAACCTAAAGAGGAAAAAATAAACAAAAAGAAAAACAGAGAAAAAGAAAACAGGTTGGACCTAGATGTCTGGGCGTGGGGCCCAGGCCTGGCCAGTCCAGACTAGGGATCCAGCCCTGTGGCCCTTACAAAACCAGACCTCACCCATGACGATTCATATTTCCCATGTAATCAAAACCTAGTTTTTAAGCATATATAATAATTTCATTTTTTAATTGCCACAAACATTTTCACTCTTCACCCAAACCCTAAATTTCATTACTTCCTCCTATTCCCCTCCAGTCTTGCATCAAACATGTGTATGGAATTTTTAAATAGTCAAGGTACTTGGGTCATATTCTTAAGCTCATTTATTCCAGTGATATGTTTCTGGATCTCTTCATTAACCCCTATTTTCCTATAACAAAAATAGGGGTTCAACCCCTATATTTTTGTTGGTTATGGAAGTTTATATTTTTCTTATGTTGATTTCTAGACTTAAATATGAAGTTTATATTTTTCTTATGAAAATTATGGATAGTCATTAAAGAAAGTTGGTTATGGAACCTAGGGAACTACCCTAGGATATGTGATTTTTACTTGAAAAAAAATCCATCACCTAGACGACTAGGCGACAAGGCACCCCCCTGTCACCTAGCCTCACCTTGGCGCCTTGAAAACTATGTTGACAAACTAACAACTTAACAGAATTACACTGTAAAGGGTCAAAATTACAAGGATTCAGTTCCAAAGTGCTTCAAATACCCCTGAAAACCATAAAATTTACAGATCCCCGACACCGCAAAGCTTTAAGCTCCACCCAATCTCCTCCCTCTTCACTCCATACTTCGAAGCATAATCCTCACTATCTCCCTCTTCCACCCCTCATATCCCTAACATTCCAACTGAGAATCCTCAACTTCCTCCTCTTCTCCTTGTCTTCCCCCTTCCCCCAATTCACTCAATGTTGTCCAATCCCTCCTCTTCTTCTCCTTCATCGTCCCACCCCTTTATTTTTTCTAGATATTCTTCCCTCTTCTTTTTCTCTTCTCTTTTCTTTTTTTCAAACTTCTCAATGCTATCTTGGCAAAGCCTTCCCCACCTCAAAAAACTAGCCTGAGAAACTTTTCCACGTCCACCTCCCTCTCCACCAGTTTATTAATATTCACCTTCCCGTTTTGAACTATTTCCTTGACATCTTGATCTTTTTTGTGTCTGTTCTACACTCTCTCTCTCTCTCTCTGTATCCCTATCCCCAGTCTCAATACCTTTACTTGTGATTATACCAACCAATGTTTACTGCAGCACTCAAATAACTATTTTCTTCAGATTCATTTAGGCATACAAGCTGGTCTATGAGTTCTGTTACTTAAAGCTTGTTGAATCAAATATTCCCTGCTCATGCTTAAGTCTTAAAAACTTTACCATATTAAAAAAAATGAAAAGAAAAAAGAAGTAAACACCCAAAAAGAAAAGAAAGAACTAAAACCCACCTTGATGCCTTCAGATGCAGCCCAAGCTTTCAATACATCTTGGTCCACTGAGACAATGGCTACTAAGCAAGAATTCAAGCTGTCACCTATCACCGTGAAACCATTAATAAACATCAGCAAGGAGAAGGGCTTTTTCGATTGGGCATCATCAAGGACAAGATTAATCCACAGTTAACAGAAAAATTTATAACCTCAGTTACTTACCATAAACAAAACATTGGGAGACAAACTTGCACTTAGCATATACACTCTCAATCTTCTCTGGGGCTATGTACTCTCCTTGTGCCAACTTAAATATGTTCTTTTTCCTATCATGATTCCAAAGACTATTTCAATATGATGTACAAAGAATAACCAGGAATGCTTTGACTTATGTGCTCAGAACTCATTAAATAAGCATAATTCATTTCTATATTTGGCATAAACGAAGATATTCCAATGCATGAGGTAATGCAGATAAAACGGAAAAGAGAAGAGAATGGTAAGAGAATGCCAAGCACCACACAAAGAATGGTGAAAATGCCAATCGTGTGTTTTCTCTTGCAAACTTGCTTTTATGCCACCCATATTTAAGGGTTTATTTGAGGTGTTCCCCACCCACAATGAAGATTATATGGAGTTCCACAGGGGCAGCAATCTTATAGACCATTTGGGAGGAGCTTAACAATTTTCAGCAAAAGAAACAGGAGAGCAGAATCATTGACTTGGTGACAATCAGTGTTGGATGGACACAAACAGGAGAATCCATTTGTTTGCACTGCAAATTTCATTTACACTGGTACAAATGGATGGGAGTGCAAACGGGCTAAGTGCAAATTCTGCTGTACATTTGTTTCAGGTTTTAACTTGCTTTGTTTATTTAAGAGTAAAATGATGTGGTCTCACTTTATATGAGAGAAAATACAAGTAGAAGGATCTTTGTTTGAGATGAGCAAAACGGAGACTAAAAGTGATATTGTCACAACTTTACACGAGAGAATTGTGAATAAACCCTAGTTCAGTCTAGGTTAAAGCAGAGAAGAATGAAGAAGAAAGAAAAGAGAAAGAATGAGAAGAATGTTCGGCCAGACTAGAAGAGAGAAAAGTGAAAGTCACTTTCTCCTAGCCGACCCACTTGACTTTTATTCATAAAACTTAAGTTACAAGAAAGACAATGTTGTCCCTCATAGAAGATGGGACACATAASTTRAACTYAGATACAATAGACATTTCACTTTCAATAAGATACACCAGAATGACCAAAATACCCCTGACTCGAGCATTCTAACAAGAATGAAGGCAGGAAAAGGTAGTACAAAAGTGCACATTTTGCATCAGTTTTCAGGAAGCAAAATTTGCACTTTTAATAAGTGAAAATGAGACAAAGGGTCCACATTTTGCAACAAGAATGTGGGGACCTTTGGTCAAATGTTTGATTTTGGATTTGACCAACTATTTTAACACTACAAGAAATCCAACAACAATAACCTCCCATGATAAAAGCCTTCTTATAATCCGATTACATTGATATTTGTTTAGTTCTCAGTATGGAGTCTGTAACTTGAATTGCTTCTAGGCCTTTCTTTTTTTTATGAAAATCTCTTATACACTTCTTAAGTCTAGGATTTCTGCCTAGAACTTGGATGGTAGACATAAACAGTCTTCTCCTTCATTTTTCTCTTAGCCTTCTTTTGAGATTTGGTCAAGGATTGATGGATACCATATGGCATCTACATCAGCGCCTCCCTGGAAAACACTTTGTCCAACTGAATAAAACAAAAACTTCAAGAGAATGAGGATCTAACTGCTGAAACTCTCTGTGGAACATTTTCATCATCCATCTTCCATTGGATCAAGTATTTAGCAAGCATCTTTCCATAAAAAAAAATACCCAGCTGTTAATAATGTTGTCAATCTCATCTTCTTTACCTTCCTTACCGTGATAAATAAGAGATCAACAACATTAAAAATAAAATCAAGCTCAAATCAGTTGGAAAGTCAACTTCATAAGCAATCAAAATTTTGAAAGGGCCAGTCATCTACTTGTTAAGCTTTTTGAATAGGTCATCATCATCTAAGCCCTGTACCAAGTACATATGGTTGGCTATATGAATAATTTTCTGCCATCCCAGCTAATAGGTACCAGCTAGAAATCTTTTCTTACACAAGCACACCATTACCATATCACCTTCCTTGAAAGCTTGGAACTTCCTTCTCTTATCAGCAATAGTATAAACCGTGAAGAATGCATACCTATTCTTATCACCAAGATGAACCTTCTTATAAAATTGCCATGGTGGCCTAAAGTGATACACCTCTATGACCACAACATCATACAAAACCTTTTCTTGATATTTCTTGCCAATAAAGAAATTAACTAAGCACTATTTAGTCACATTTATCTCTCCACCCTTCTTAAACCAAACTATAAAATATGGTTTGAGGTGTCATTGAGTCTTGAGATCCAACTTATCACCATCTTGACTAACAAGGGTCTCACAACTGCCACCATCAATGATGACACTGCACAATTGATCATCAGAATTACATCGTGTCTTGAATAAATTGCTCATCAACCATTCTACATATGCTGCCTTGGGCATGTAAAGAATGTCTCATAACCAATGCCAGATCATTATACTTCATCATCTTCCACATTATAGTTTAGCAAATCAGCATAGGATGGATCTTCTTGAAACTCTTCTTCATACCCTTGGTGACTGTTGAAGGCATTTTTTTTTTAAATCCAAATAATATTTAAATAGATTATAACCCTAATAAGTGGGTTGGCTAGTCTACGATCCAAATCATCAAAACTATAAAAAAAGTGTCCCGTACAGGAGTTCCCTCTCTTCAATTGGGAGGGACAGGTGTCCTTCACCTAGGGGGAGGAGGTAGTTACATAACTACCTCACTCCCTATTTAAGCTCCTTAAGGGAAGCTAGACTGCTCTCTTCGGAGAAAATTGTCTCAAGAGATTCTTAAGAAAAGCCAAGATAAAGAGAGAAGAAAAAGAAAAGAGCTCAAGGGAAGACAGGGAAGGAAAAGAAGTTTCACTAATACAGGTAGGAAAAGGAAAGTCCTCTTCATGAATACTTCCTATATATGTCTTCTGCTATGTATCCTTCTTTCTCTCTCTTTTATTTTCACTTTTGAGAAAGGAAATAGAAGGAAATAAACCATCTAAGACCAGATGCTTCTACTTGGTTGATTATGGTCCCTCTTTCAAGACAAAGTTAGGGATTAAACCATCTACAGTCTAATTCTCAAGGGCGGATTATGGTTCCCTTCAAATGAAAATGAATAGGGGATAAAAACTGTCTACAATCAAACATTCAATTTGATTGACTACGGTTCCCTTCTTGTACGCAAAAATCCAAAGGATTAGTCAGAATTTAATTTATTGACTACAACTTATTGTGAAGAAAGGAGTGAGAAAGAAATCTCTGTATCAAAAAGAAAAGAAAGAGAGAAATGTATTGTTGTAGAGTTTCTCAATTGTATTTTCTTTTTTTCTTCTTCTCATTCTTGTACACTTAATGTAAAAGAAATGCAAATGAAAAGTTCTTTTTAAGAAGTACTCTATTGTTCTTTTCTTTTGTTCTATGCATTCATTTCTCTAAGTCAGAATCAAAAGGTGTTCTCTACTTTCTTGTGGAGATGTAATTAACGGGAACAATCTATACGATTCTCTAAATGGACCTTAACCCAATATAATAGAAACTCAATCACTTGATTGAGTGAATTATGTTGCATGAGAATTTATTAAAATTTTCACACCAACAGTGACAAGGCTAACTTGTCTAGCACAAAATTGGACTGAAGTATGGCCTTCTTCCAAACATCTGTAGCATATAGCATGCGGTTCAACACATTATTTTCCATATGCACCACCCCAATAGATTTTCCTTGTTAACTAGAAGTAGACGTTGCATGTATTGGTGTTTTGACTTGAACCAGCAATTACAACCTTCTCTTTGCTCATCATGGTCTGTGTCCTTGTAAAGTTGGTAATTGGATGTTAATTACCAGCTTGAAAAAGTTGATTCTCCACCTTTACTGCAAGCCAACTGCTCCTGTCTATGTCCAAATAAGGTTGTCACTAAACCAAATTACCAATACACTATAAGACCCACCAAATGCGTTCGTAAGGTTTGCATATCAGATTCATTGAGGTATAGACAAGTTCTTATCTTGTAGAACTCATTAGCGTATTCCCCAACTGTCCTAGATCCTTGGTGCAAGTTTTGGCACTGCTTAAATAGCATTCCTTCATGGTTCAAAGGAAGAAATTAACCCCTTGACCCCCTTTGCATTTTGGTCCAGGTCTGAATTTTCTCTTGCCTGCTTTTAATTGTGAAATCTGACTTTTTTTTTTATCAGCAAGAAATTTTTTAATTAATAACAGAGAAAAGTTACAATCAGTTACAATAATTATAGGTTGCAGATCTAATCTGCAACCACTTGCAATCAGCTACAATTCTGCCTAGTACAAAGTAGATCTATTTGCCCCTGTTTTGCTAGGGTATTCGCCATCCCATTTGCATTCTGTTTGATCCAACCAAAGTGAGAATTGATCCTCCTTGCAAATATGTCAATTTCTCTGAAGATAAATTTGAGCTTCCAAGGTACTGATGTGATGTTTTGAGCCCAAGAAATGACCAGTAGTGAGTCTCCTTCTATTTCTAAGTCTGTTGTTCCTATCTGCCCTTCCTGCGTTACCAAAAGAACTCCCATCAAAGTTTAGTTTTAGTTTGTTCAGTGCCTGTGGTTTCCATTCCACACTCACAATTACTTTGGGTGCATCTGTTTGTGCTACTTCAGCCCAACTTCTTAGAATCTCATTCGTGGAGTAATTTTTGAATAGCTCCATGGTCTTCACCCAATGTGCAGTTCTGATTTTTATGGCTTCAATAACTTCCTCCTTTGATTTACTTTTTTCAGAGGGACCATAATCAACCAAGTAGAAGCATCTGGTCTTAGATAGCTCCAAATATCTCCAAATATCCTTCATCTATTCTTCTCTATGCTGACAATACTAGTCCCGTCAATATTGCTTCTAATCCTGTGATTCAAGAAAGAACTAAACACATCAAGGTGGACTGTCATTTTATCGGAGACTTGTTTCATGTCAGTTCTATCACTCTTCCTTATATAGCTTCTGACATACAGGTTGCTGACATCTTCACAAAGGCTATGACTCTATCCAGACATCTCTTTCTTGTTAACAAACTGATGCTTATGTCCTTGCATCAGTTTACGGGGGAGTATAGAGAATCTAGGAGCTAAATATGTATTTGTATTGTATTATTATAGTCCCTATTGTCTT